GAAGTCACGGGGGAAGGGTTAAATGTTTTCAAAGTAAACATGAGCCTTCGGCCGATTACTTGACTTTATATATAAAGTAAGTATATTTGTAAAGAGGGTAACCACGAGTTATGACCTATATTGTAATATCACCCTATTTGAGGGTCTTGGAAATTGAAACGTTGATTATACTTAGTATAGTTGTCATTGTACTTGTCAAATGCTTCCAAGTACTGACCTCCCCTTCACGGGGGAGGCCACCTCACAGTTTCAGGTAGGACTTGAAGGTTGCTACCACGCCCGTTGCTTCGGGAAGATCAAAGGAGGAGGACGTGGTTCGTGCTTCTTCCGTTTCTGTTTTAAACAATTACAATAATGCTCATGGAAATTATTTTGAATACTATTTGGGGGCTTGTATGCCCATGTTTGCCACGTGTGGCTTGAATACGTGTATTAATGTTTCCGCTGCTTTATATGAATATTTTACATTATGTTTGTTTATGGATGTACTATGTGTGAATGGTATTCAAGACGCCTAGTATAGTATGGATGAGTTGGACTGCGGTTGACTATTCGTACTGTACGGCGGGTTGTTGACGTGTCCGGTAGGTCCGGGGCGTGACAACTGACATGGAGGGTTGTGGATGGCTTGGTTCCCAACCATCAAATTTTCTGCATTAAATGCGTCTCCCGCCAATATCTTGATTTCCCGCCAAGGTCTGTGGACGAGCGTCTTCAGGATCTTGGGCCCTTCACTTTGGTGGTGCAAGGGCTAGGTTTCGTGCATCTCCTGGTAGTCTTCTGACTTATGAGCGCTAGGCTGCCTCTTAGTAAATGGGTGGGCTAAGATCACGGGGGCTGATCGTCTTGTTGGGTAAGACGTACGTCCAATGTTATCTTGGTCCATTGTGGTTAACTGTCTCTCGTGGTCTGTAGCCTGAAGACGAGCGTCTAGGGCCTTCCTCTTGTTGGACCTTGATGGTCTTTGCTAAGAGGATAATGGGGCGACCATGTGTTTAACCCAACAAAATATAATATAAATACAAATCAGTTTATTGGTTAAAATATCTTTCAAATACAAATACAAATAATTATGTGTTTAAAGAATAATCAAATATATTCATGTATACATATACAAAATCAACCACCTAATATGCATGTATGTGCATCAACTATCCACTATATGCGCGTGTGTATAGTTTAAATTATACTCTGTATATCTAATGTTTTTTATTAGCATGCAGCAATGCTAAATATATGACATAAAATTAGAGTCGGTTGACTTTGATGTATACATTTATCAACATATTTCACACATTATAAGTATAATTTCTAATATGTGTGCGTGTTATTGTTTATTCCAAAATGTTTGAAATTGATGTATATTTAAAAATCATTAAATTGATTCACTTCATTATATTGTGCACAAACTAAAAATGCATTGATCCATTAATTTTTAAGAAAAATGTAATGGTCCAAATCAAATTCTAAAAACACATATTAAGTCAAAGCATGCATTTATAACATGAAAATATAGGAAAAGTTAATTTAAAGTGATATTTGATTAATATTTAACTTATGCTCAAATCGATTAGATATTTGTATATGATTCGTTAACTATTCGTATTGTTTAACAAATACAAATCAAAATTAATATTTGTTTCATATTTGAATTCGGATTCGTATTCGAAAAACTAAACAAATACAAATACAAAATCTCATTATCCGACTTGATTCGGTTTGTTAACAACCCTAACCAATTTATACCAAATTTGAGACATATTTTATGACTCCGTTGTTAAGAACATTCCGAACATAGCTAAGTTGTCGTCATCTCGTCTCTCGATTTCTAAATTCTAATTTCATACTTTTCTGTGCTCATACCGTCATACGCACTACGAAGCAATAAGAGTCATAGACAAGAATAAGTGAATCTTGAATTAGTTAAGCAATGTTCCCGCTTTGTTGAGACTTTTACCAGGGACCATCACTAATAACATGAGCAGAATCGCAGAAAGGCTGAGCATGACACACATACAAGTTATTCAACTTTTTAGCTTTGAACAAAACAAGGGAATTTTTCAAAACTTTCATACACCCATTTCCGCATTAACCCTTAAACCCACTACCATCAAAAGCAGCGACACAAAACAAGTTATGATGCAAATCAGGAGCATGTCTAACATTTTTTCATAGTAAACACAGTCCCATTATCAAACTTCAAACATACATCACTCACCCTATGTATTTAAGCATAATATCTCATGAGATATTATTAGCCAAATACATTACTTAATGTTCCAATAACACTCAAATATGGTATTTGAGGATAAAAAATTTCTTCATCATCTTCACAAGGTAGGAAATGATTATCATGCACATTGAGAGATCAAACCGCCCTTGAAGAATTGAGTGAAACTCTCATAGATAAGCTTCATTCGCTTTCTATTTTATTGTATGAACTTTTTTATCGACTAATTACGTTCTTGATTGTAGTGAAATTCTTGTTTTGTTTTATTTACTAAAATTTCCAGTTTGTTAGTATTTATGTTTTAAACTCAACTTTTGAGGTTTGAAATGAGGTTCAGCATATTTGTATTGTATTTTCGAACTTTGAATGCCTTTTTGGCACAAAAACCATGATTTGTAACATTTTTTAAAGACTAGCTAGGAACCGCTAAATGACAAGAACCGAACCGTTAAGAATGGTTTGGTTCCTTATTGGTTCTATAAAATAATTTGTAAGAACCGTTAATAAAATTTCATATTTTCAAACGGTTCCACATATTTTGTTTAGGAACCAAACCGGTCCTAGACCTAAATTAAATTACTCCATAGGATTCATACATTTTCATTTGACAAAAAACAAATATGACTAATTACATTATTATAAAATACGTAGTATTTAACCAACGATCGAGCTGAGATAGTACGTACTCTTCAATTTGGTTGATAATGGCCGGGAGAAAGACAAAAGTCATATATGCATGAAACCAAACCGCCCAGCTCTTCAACGTATAGTCTAACCTACACCCAGGGGCGGAGCCAGGACACTGGCCCGGACTGGGCCGATACAAAAAATATGTTTGGAAAATATTTTACACAGAACATTTTACCCTAAAAATTTAGACATTTTTAAAATTTGGGCTAGGCCATGGTCAGGGATGGCCACCCCTGTCTACGTCCCTGCCTCCACCTATATTTCGTATATTGTTGCTGCAAATGTGTTTAGATTTGTGAATTGGCAAGCTAAGTGGGATTAATAATCAGGATTATTGATTACCTTTTCTATACGTATTTGTTATTACTCAATACTGATCGATCGAAGTTCTAGCCATATTAAGTGATCAGTAGTACGCAATGTAAATAAAAATGTGAGGAAATAATCACCTCAATATGATTTTTGTGTACCAACGAATAGAAATAAAAGTGAGATAATGAGTTTGTTTGGTGAATATGTTTTTCATCTTATCGGACTTATTAATTATCAACTCTTTCAATAAGCATATATCTTTAGATTTCGTGCGCTGAATTGTGTAATAATAGAAAAATGTAAGGTTTGATCGAGTTACTTTTCTAGCTGTATTGACTGAAGTTACGCCCTAGAAGATCATGTTAACTATTTTTTCATATAATTTTTTTCTTTATTTTATGAATAAAATATACTATGTATTTTAAATATATTTTCACATAACTTCATACGGGGTGTTTGGTTACTGACCTATCAACCATTTTTGGCTGATTTGATGTATATTCCCATGGTGTATATTCCCATGGTGCCCTGTTTCTTTTTCTTAGGCATATGCTGCCGAACAAAAACCAAGTTGCAATACCAAGAAAAAAAAACTTCTTTCCTAATCCCGATGCCTCCTATTATTTTTGGTACTACGTTTAATTTTAGGTTTTTACTAATAACTCCAAATATTTTTTACTTTTTACTAGGTAGGTTATAGTTCCTAACTATTTTTTTTTTTAATTTTTGGTATATTCCTTCTATTTTTATTGTAAATTCACTAAAAATAGATTCAATAAAAATAGTTCCTAGTTTCTACCTTTTTGTAATATATAATAATAAAATGAAATAAGCAAGGTATTTGATTGAAATTATCTTGCTTCATTCATACATTTTTCAATACTTAATACAAGCAAAATAAATTCATTATCGACTTGGCGTGTTTGGTTATAAAAAGTTTTAATTTACAACTTAATTAAAGAATGGTTATATGCGTATTAGTATCAATTTTTTGGTACTACATTTAATTGTATTTTGTACTAATAACTCCAATTATTAATCAAAGTATCATGTTGGCGTTTCTCTAAGAAAATCAAAGTATTATGATAGTACTTAAATCTATTAATTTGTGGGAAAAAAGTTTAAAATAATTATTAATTGTACGTATCAATACATTTTAAATTTTTATGATTAAGATGGTTGAGGTAGTTATACCAATTATGTTAATAAAAAATCATTCATGTTCTTAAATGTCATTTAACAAGTTATCAGCTGTTTGTAAACAATCATTTAACCAAACCCTAATTTACAAACAACTAATTAAAACAATCAACAGAATCTGTTGTCATTAATCAGCCAACAGTCTACAACCAACAACCAATTGCCAAACACCCCATAAGTTTCAGCAGAATTATCTGATTTTGATATTACTTATTTGTGCATCTTCTAAACCCATTACATGTGTTTATTTATTCCTCAATTTTAGGATGAAATAATAGCAATGCGGGCATGGCCATGATCATGTGCTGGTACATAACACACTAGGAATAATATCTGATTGAGTCATACTTGAGAAAGATATTTTCACTGACACAGAAACACAAGCAAAACCCAAAAAAAGATATTTTGTGTAAACTTAGCCAATGCAAGAGTCACAGTACACGCGTCAATAGTTAGGCCGGGGACGAGGCTGATGGCAGGCGCCTTTACCCTTGCAGCGCACGTTAGCACTCCGCGCCTATTTATATTCAATTTTCCCACCTCTTTTCATTCTCTTATAAATAAACAAGCAATCGCCTAAAATATTCATTTGCTTCCTTCTCTTCTCTTCATCATGGCCGTCTTCTTCGTCCACTAACCTCTCCTTCTTCTTCATACACATATATATAATAGCTTTACTAATTAAATAGCTCGCTGTTTCTCCTTCAACTCCTGATCTAGCTTAAAAGGTATGAAATTAAATTTCACTTGATTATGAGATTAGTTTGTTTCTCTCTCTCTGATCTGTTCATATGAAAAACTGTGAGTACGGACATATACGTTATACGGAGTATATCAATATCACGTATGTTGGGTTTAATGCACCAAAACTCCCGCTCATTTATAAATTTAGCGCCTCCTGTGATTTAAAAAAATATTATGCGTCAAAACCCGTATGCTATGTTTATTCTGCAAGAACAACTTTACCAATTCGTAAATCACTTATCTTAATATTATGAATTATTATGAATGAATATGCAAGTAAATTTGATAAAATGGTTAAATTATGCAAAAATACTAATTATTTTCGATTTAATTGGCAATTTAATTTTTTCTTGGAGGGATTTTACATACAGTGATGTATCCACTATGGAGGCCGCTGCCCCCACTCAACCCCAACCCCTATATATATGTCCAAATTTTTATAAGAAATTGCTCAAAATAATAGTTAAATGTAAAAAAATCTAAAATAGGATTAAAAGTATTTTTTTTAATATTAAAAGAATGAAAGGCTAAAAAATTCACAAAATTTCGTTACGTTTAACTTATAGTTAGATAATTTTATTACATTTTATCTGCAATTACATCTTTACACACCCGTAATATAAATTAATCTTCTTTTTATTTATACTTTTACATAGATATTATAAACTAAATTTAATCAAACAATATTAATAATGTGATTTGTTATTTGTGATATATGAGACTAAATTGTAGTCAAGTTTGCCCTCGCTCGCCAAATTTCCTGGATACGACACTGTTTACGCATGAATAATTATATCACAATGAGGTTTGACGCATTTTTTAAATCACAGAGCTAACACGCCCAATTTATAAATCACAGAGGGGTTTAGTGTATTAAACCCCATATATGTTCTGGGCATGCAGCTAGCAGGATTATTTTATGAAAATGATTAAACCTGAAGCCAGGCTTTCAAGGATTTATATTTCTATACATTATTACTTAAGTTTTGATTGCTAAAGGATGTGTAGCTGAATGTAATGTTAATTCCAGTCGTGAAATTTTGCAGAATTTGTTATGCTTTTCGGAGTAGCGTTCACGTGAGCTTTTTTGGGAGTTCACTGGAGGTTTGTGATAATGCCCAGAGGCGGCTTTTGGGGGAGTTGGGACAGAGCTTCAAAAAAATTAAAAAAACCTATTAGTATTACCTATTATTTACTACTAATAATAAGAATTAATTAATTATCTGGGTTGTGGAGTCTGAAGGTCTGATTTAGGGGCATACGGCTCCGATAAGTGAACGACCAATTCCATCCGCCGAACTGCCGATTTGCCTAAGACTTGAAGAAATCCGATTTTCCGAACGAGTGTCGACTGATTCCTGCGTCGTGCCATCCTGGTGGGCTGCCGCCTGCTTTTCCAGAAATCCAATTGGTGACTTCTGTGAGTTTTCACTCCGATTTCTCTAATTCCTGTCCTAAATAATGAAATAGGTACTCCAAACTCCGAAGATCGTAAGGCTCTGTTTGCAACCACTTGTGCTTAAATAAAAACACTTTTGTGGAAAAAGTTATTAGTAGTAAAAGTTTGGTAGTGTTTGGTAAAATAAGTGCTTTTTGTGTAATAGAAAAAGTAAAAAGTAGATTATACACGAAAACCGAGGAAGTAAAAGTTGATTGTGTTTGGGAAAATAAGTGCTTTTTTCTTAAAAAAAAAACTAAAATCACTTTTTTTTAATTGTTGAGCGAACACGTGGACAAACAAAAAAAGGCATTTTTTAGATGGCACAACCGAATAATGAAATATGATAAAGCCTAGTAAATACTACCATCCGTTCTCTTTTAAATTCAACATTGTATGTTTTCCACTATTCACATGTTCTACTTTGACTCTGTTTGATTTATTATGTATTATAAATCAAATTTTTAAAAATATTTTAAAATTCTTCTCATTTTAAATTTTCAAAATCTGAATTTCTTAATTTTTTTTTTACTAATAAGGAATGAAAGATATTAATAGTCAAACACGTACTAATAACTAATAAGGTATGAAAGATATTATTGGTTAAACTTGTGCGTTAACAAACCTAAAAAGTGTGGTGCAATTAAAAAGTGGACAAACAGAAAAGGCAAATTTTTAACTTTTTGAGGTTAGATCTCGGTTACCAGTTACTAACTTGCTATTGTTATTCTGTTAGTGTATTACTACGGATTAGATATATAGATGAATAAGATCATAACTGGTTAACTGATAAATTCATTACACACAGAAATGATTAATTTGATGGTATTGGTAGTACGTAGTAGGGTTTGTAAACAAACTGAATCGAGTCGGATAGTGAGAATTTTTATTTGTTTTTGTTTAATTTTTTCCGAATACGAATTGAAATTCGAATATGAAACGAATATTAATTTCGATTTGTATTTGTATTTATATTTGTTTAACAATACGAATAGTTAGCAGATCATATACGAATATCAAATCGATTTGAGCATAAGAAAATACGTAGTATTAGTCAAATATCATTTTAAAATAATGTTTCCTACTTTGTATATTTTTTATGTTAAAAATGCATGCTATGATTTAATATGTATTTTTAGAATTTGATTTGTAACATTACATTTTCTTAAAAATTAATGGATCAATGCATTTTTAGATTGTGTACAATATAATAAGGGAAAAATAATTAAAATACATCAAACTTTGAAGGGGTGTGAGATGAATATTCCAAATTTGCATATGTATTTTAAATGTCTCAGATATAAAAAGTTATTTTGGCACCGAAGTCAAGTATTATTTCTTTCAAAATGTTTTAGAATTCATGGAGACACAATTAACATTATAAACTTCCATTGAAAAATAAATAATGCTATCCCAATCTATATAATTGCAACACTTTTAATTTGTTATTTTAAATTATGAAATTAAATGATTAACCCCATAAATTTACATTTTTGAAAGAAATAATACATAACAATGGTGTGAAAATAAATTTTTATATAAAGTCTAGGGTATTTAAATTACATGCATAAGTTTGGTGTGTTTACTTCACACCACATCAAATTTTGTAGTATTTTGATTATTTTTTCCATATAATAAAGTGAATCAGTTTTTTGATTTTCTAAATGTACATCTATTTCAAAATTTTGAAATAAATACTAAGACACACATATTAGAAATTATACTTTTAATGTGAGAAATAAGTTTATAATTGTATATACCAAAATCAACGTGACTCTAATTTTATGTTAGATGTTTAACATAGTTGCTAATAAAAAAACCATTAGATATACGAAGTATAATTAAATCTACACACATAGTGGATAAATTGATTTTGTATGAGTATAAACGGATATATTTGATTATTACTTGAATTTAATACAAAATTATTGTATTCGTATTTAAATGATATTTGAACCAAAAAGCTAATTTCTATTTGTATTTATATTATTTATTTTCAAATTTAAATCATAATTTTTGAATCCAAATCACGAATCGAATTAAAAATATTTGCTTCATTAACAACCCTTAATTCGTATGATTTATTACAAATTTAAAAATCTAATTCGTATAATTCGTATGAATATTCCAAATTTGCATATGTATTTTAAATGTCTCAGATATAAAAAGTTATTTTGGCACCGAAGTCAAGTATTATTTCTTTCAAAATGTTTTAGAATTCATGGAGACACAATTAACATTATAAACTTCCATTGAAAAATAAATAATGCTATCCCAATCTATATAATTGCAACACTTTTAATTTGTTATTTTAAATTATGAAATTAAATGATTAACCCCATAAATTTACATTTTTGAAAGAAATAATACATAACAATGGTGTGAAAATAAATTTTTATATAAAGTCTAGGGTATTTAAATTACATGCATAAGTTTGGTGTGTTTACTTCACACCACATCAAATTTTGTAGTATTTTGATTATTTTTTCCATATAATAAAGTGAATCAGTTTTTTGATTTTCTAAATGTACATCTATTTCAAAATTTTGAAATAAATACTAAGACACACATATTAGAAATTATACTTTTAATGTGAGAAATAAGTTTATAATTGTATATACCAAAATCAACGTGACTCTAATTTTATGTTAGATGTTTAACATAGTTGCTAATAAAAAAAACCATTAGATATACGAAGTATAATTAAATCTACACACATAGTGGATAAATTGATTTTGTATGAGTATAAACGGATATATTTGATTATTACTTGAATTTAATACAAAATTATTGTATTCGTATTTAAATGATATTTGAACCAAAAAGCTAATTTCTATTTGTATTTATATTATTTATTTTCAAATTTAAATCATAATTTTTGAATCCAAATCACGAATCGAATTAAAAATATTTGCTTCATTAACAACCCTTAATTCGTATGATTTATTACAAATAGGCTTGGAGTTTGTATACGTAAATGTATATATGGACTACACTTTGCGGGTATAGCTATCTTTTAATAATTATTATAATTATAATGTTATCACTATTATTATTATTATTAATATTATTATTATTAATTATTAATATTATCACTATTATTTACGGAGTATCAAATATCATTCGAAATTGATATTCTTATTTGTATTTGATAACAATTCAAATCAAATTTAATATTTTTATTTGAATTTGAATTTTTCGAATTCAAATAGCCTTATACTAAATAGTTATTTTGTTTAATTTATCATTCAATTTAGAAGAATAGAAGTTTGTTTAATTAGGCAACTTGTACTTTTAAGAATAAGTGGTTTTGATTTACTCTTTAGTATAAGTGTGATGTGTGTTTTGAAAAGGTTTATATTATTTCATTTTAAAACTTATCCTTTTGAATACTAAAAAATTATATGTTTTTGTTTCATTTTTATGTTTTTACTTCAATTTATCCATTTTCCATATAATTTTTGTGTCGTTTTTTTTTTGTTTTTGTATATATGGCCACCGAAATCGAAATGCTGAAAACGCCCCTGCTGCCCCACAGAACGACTTGCTTCTTTCCGACGCAATTTCCAGACAGAGGTGGCGGATTTGGTGCGTCATCTTCGTCAAAGTTCCTTTTAGATCACGAGAAGGCCGGAGGGGGTCAAAATGGGGGAAAGTCTGGAAAGGAGGACAGCGATGAAGTTTCATACCCTTCCTCTCGTTTTGATGCATCTGAAAGCGTCACTGGAGGAGACAAAATTCACGGGAAGCAATTGACCGCTTTTGTCAACTGGCTGACTGAGAAAAAGGTTAAAGACAAATCATCGCACCATCAGATTCCTCGAGCCGAATTCGAAGTAGGATTCGAAGATGGTGGTGTGAAGGATGAGGGCGGTGGTAAATACCACCTCTTGCTTCCAACTCCGCCGGGGGCGGTGCCAAAAGTTGCTTCCTCTGACCACCGCCCATCACGTGATCACAAACCATCAGTAATTAGGCCGAAGGATCACAATGCGCCGTCGTTTAGGCGTCCACCCAGTGGGTTGGCAAAGCAAGCCCCATTGCAGCGGTCACCAGTTACCTACAGCAACCACTTTAGTTGTCTGGGGAAGGAGAAGGGACTTGATGTTGAAAGGAAAGCATCCTTGCAGCGGCTTTCAAGTGCGGGCAGCACTACCGATTCTTCGAGTTGGTTTTCAGGGTCAACATCGGATGGGAACCGGCCGAATACCAGATTCAATGATTCACACACGTCGACCACCTCGGGCCCAAATGAGAATGAAGTGGTTCCCAGGTGGAAGGAGAGCTATTACTTGCAGCTCACGCTTGCCAGAAGCATTGTTGAGCAAGCAACTATTGCTATTGATGAGCCTCTGCAAGAATGCATGAGCGTTGAGGGTCTACCAGTATCTTCTGACCCTCAGACCGTGTCCTTCCGCCTCTGGGTACGTACAAAGTATTTAATGTAAATTCCTCCATCGAATGCTATAAGGTATGCCGTGTGCAATTTTTTTAAATGATAATCAGGTTTTCTGGCCAAAATTAACTGCAGTGTTTGTGAATTGTTCTTTGCACACCTCAATCATTCAGTGTCACATTCAAATTCCAGTCTAATATTTCAGGTAAGTGGGTGCTTGTCATATTTTGATAAGATAACAGATGGATTTTATAACATCTTGGGAATGAATCCATATTTGTGGGTGATGTGCAATAACATGGAGGAAGGTAGTAGATTACCATCTCTGGTGGTACTTAAAGGTACTGAACACAGTGATACATCGATGGAAGTGGTCCTCATTGATCAGTGTGGGGATGCTAAGCTCAAGGAACTAGAAGATAAAGCTCAAGAAATATTTTTTGCTGCAGAGAATACACTTGTTTTAGCAGAAAAACTTGGAAAACTTGTTGCTGTCCATATGGGGTGAGTGTGTGTTTTTAAGTGGCGTGCTTCTTCCGCCCTCATTTCCCTCTTGCTGATGAGACTGTCAACTTTGTTAAATTTAAGGGGATCTTTTCCCATGGAGCGAGGTGATCTTTACCAGCGCTGGGAAATTCTCAGCAATAGACTTAAGGATATTCATAGTTGCATCGTTCTCCCAATTGGTAATTTATCTGCAGGGCTTTGCAGGCATAGGGCTGTTTTGTTCAAGGTGATTCTTTAAGGACCACTTTTTACTTATTGAGAAAAGGCCGTTTAAAACTTTTGGCATTCTCATCTTGCATTTGTTTTCATCCGCATTGATTTCTATGTGGCCATAATCATTATTTGTCTGTTCTACAGAAATTGGCGGACTATGTGGGCTTGCCTTGCAGAATAGCCAGAGGTTGCAAGTATTGTGTTGAAGATCACCGGTCTTCATGTCTCATAAAGATTGTGGATGACAGAAAAAATGCTAGGTGAAGTAATTTTCCTTATGTTTAAAGTTGTCAAGCTTACTAGTAGAGTAGGGTATCCGAGGAAGCATTAAGGAATTTAGAAAAGTTAGAAAAGTTGCTTCATGTTTTCTGTTCGTTAGAGTCCCAGGTCGAAAATTTTAAGAGTCACACATCTGAAAATAATGAGAGATAATAGATTGATAGGTTAGAGGCTTTGAATTGAACTAGCAAGTATATTGGATTCAAGCCTGACTTCCATCACTATTTCATGTGCATTAATTTTGTGATATTTATTTTAACTGCATACTGTTACATTAAATGTTTGGTTGCATAGCGCATACGGCGCCATACATAGTCCATGCAGGGGGGGCCTTTAGTTACAAGGTTCAGAATCTGCTTGAATATTGATTGCAGCTTGTTTATACTTTCTTAACAGGGAATTTGTAGTTGATCTAGTAGGGGAACCTGGAAATGTGCATGGCCCAGATTCATCTATTAATGCAACTGATCTTTGCTCTGTGCTTTCCCCCTTTCAAGTTGCTCATCCTAAGGAATTCCAGCTACCTAACATGGAAGGTAATACCAGTTGTCAACTACTTGATTCAAATTGTGAACTTCTTCGTGCAGAAAATTTTATGTATTTAGGTATATTCTGTCCAAATCATGAACTTTGCTATCAAGTTCTTCAGGGGCGTCTTCAGCATTTCGGAGGCCCTAGACAAAAAAAATGCCACAAAAATTGTATTGAAAAGAGATAAATTGAATAAAAAACATCAACATTAAAAAAATACATACTCAGTGTACAATATAATATTTTTAATATTCAGAAGGATAAGTTTTAAAATGAAATAATATAAACATTTGCAAAATACACATCACACTTATACTTTTAACAAAGAGTAAACCAAAACCACTTATTCTTAAAAGTACAAGTTGCCTAATTAAACAAACTTCTATTCTTCTAAATACAATGACAAATTAAACAAAATAACTACTTTACTACTATCAATACCATCAAATTAATCATTTCTATGTATAATGAATTTATCAGCTAATCAGTTATGATCTTATTCATCTAAATATCTAATACGTAGTAATACACTAATAGAGTAACATTCTCTGTACAATAATAACTAGTATCTGGTATCTAGCCTCAAAAAGAAAAAAATTGCCTTTTTTTGCCCACTTGTTTTCCAAATATTTACTATGCTTTATGCCTTTATCGTATTTCATTATTCCATTATGCGTTCTTAAAAAATTGCCTTTTTTGTTTGTCCACGTTCTTGCTCAACAATTATTTATAGCCTTTACTCCTTCAGCTCTTTAGAGTTTGGAGTACGTATTTCATTATTTAGGACAGGAGTTAGAGAAATCAGAGTGAAAAATCACAGAAGTCACCGATCGGATTTCGGGAAAAGCAGGCAGCAGACCCACCAGGGCGGCACGGCGCAGGAATCAGTCAACCCTCGTTCGGAACATCGGATTTCTTCAAGTCTTAGGCAAATCGGCAGTTCGGCGGATGGAATTGGTCGTTCACTTGTCGGAGCCGTATGCCCCTAAATCAGACCTTCAGACTCCACAACCCAGATAATTAATTAATTCTTATTATTAGTAGTAAATAATAGGTAATACTAATAGTTTTTTTTTTGTTTTTTTGGGGCCCCCTTGGAATGTGAGGCCGAAGGCAATTGCCTTGCCCAACTCCCCCAAAAGCCGCCTCTGAAGTTCTTCATGAGTCAAATTACTTGTCATGGATGTGAATCCATAAATATATATTTAAGGAATACAAACATGCATTTTCCTTGGGAGTATGAACTGACCGAGTGTTAATAGTTGTTCTTTGTGTACTGGGAGCACAATGAAATTTTGTGAAGACAGTAGTTACTTCATTTTGTATTCAAAGAACATAAAAAAAAATTATCATTACTCATCAGTACACTCATTCTTTTTGCATCTACAGAAAAAGAAAATCTACCAATGCATGATATTGTCCTTATGGACAAGCCCAAATGTTTCTGGTGCAGTCCAAATCAGTTTTCTGAAATCAAATCACCTGAGAAACTTACCACTACAGCTGGTGTAATTACAAGAGATGAATATGATGAACCCAGAGATCAAAGTAAAATAGTTCTATTCCAGAATAGCACACAAGAGATTGTTCAGCCTAGACCACCTCCATTTGCTGGTGGGCATCCCAGCATAAGTAAATATGTGGAGAGTGAGGTTACGCTTGAGAATCTGAAGCATTCGGAAGCAACCCTTCCAAAATACCTGAATCTTGAACCATCTCTTGCAATGGATTGGCTCGAGATCTCATGGGATGAGTTACATATCAAGGAGCGTGTTGGGGCTGGTACATTTTCTCTCTTTTCTTTCGACCCCCAACTTGTGCTAATAAAAAATGTCTCCTTAATGTTGTCAGATTGTTGTTTTGTCAGACTAACACTAGTTAAAATTCCTTGGCGCAGGTTCTTTTGGAACTGTACATCGAGCTGAATGGAATGGATCTGTAAGTAATAAACTTGATGTTTTAGTAGGCTATCTCACAACTTTGTTTTAGTTAAGTAGTTTATTTCACTTGAATATTAAGTTCAATTGCACCTTGGTTGAGGCACTTCACTAGTTTTGAAATATGAATGAATTAAAATACGAAAGGGGGAGGTCATTTAGAAAGGTAAGGTTCTTTAATTTGAGATTTACCGGACTAATGGGATTATTAAATGAAGCAGAAGAACCCGCTAAGTATGAGCTGCCACCATTCAGCAAATTCATTAACTTTTTTTAAAGAATTTCAGCACTAAACTTAGATTTTCATGTGCAATGCAGTTTTTGTTAAGAATACATGCCACATGCATGTGTGATCATCCCAGTTCATGTCTATGGTCTACCATATTTTGTTTTAATAGTTTCACGGTAATTTTTCTTTTCTTACTATACGGAATATGTCAACAGTAGATAAATTTGGGTTCAGTTTTACTCATAGAGAAATGTGTGAGGTGAATGAAGTATGCATTTCTGGCAAATCACTCATAAGTTGCAGCTGTTGGAAATGAGATAGATACTTAAAATGAATTTAAATGTTCATTGTTAAAAAATTTGAATATAGAGAAGGGTTTCTGCGTGATTCTATATTTAGAATGTATCAATTGAAAAAGGAGAACCCTCATTGCAGGATGTTGCAGTCAAGGTGCTATCTGTCCAAGATTTTGAAGATGACCAATTAAGGGAGTTTCTAAGGGAGGTATGTGCCTGCATCAGTAAAGCTAAATGATCAAAGCCTCTTGCTTATTTACTTTTTTTCTTGCCATTCATGAATTATTCATTTTTATGAGGACTGGGAGAATATAGAGGAATTGTCACATAATGCTTCTTTGTAGCTTTATTCCTGAATCTTTACCTAAGAAGTTTGGTAAATGGATTTCATGCATGTATATTAAAGTGTGTGTTATACATTTCTAGACATTATGGTTTGTTTTATCTCCTGCATTGCATATCTATCCTTAGTGGTACAACCGTAGATGTACCTTATATCAGGTGAACAAAAAGTTGTGGGAGTTCCATCACGTGTCTCAGTATATGTGCTTTTGTGTTCAATGATTTTCTGAACAAATGTTGGATTTTAGATGTTGATTCAAGAAACTATCTTTTGAAGGTTGCAATAATGAAGCGTATCCGCCATCCAAATGTGGTTCTCTTCATGGGTGCAGTCACTAAACGTCCACATCTATCCATAGTGACTGAATATCTACCTAGGTATTTGATCCTGCATATATGTAGCATAAACTCCCAATATCATTCCGAACGCTCAGTACTATCATTGATCAAGGTTCGAAATTGCGAATTGCGTAGTCGTGGCGTTTTTTTAATATTGCATATTGCGTAAGCCTCATTGCGCAATGAGGCGTATAGCTAAGGCGTAATATATTATATATATATAAACATAATAAAAAATAAACATATTCGTTAAAAGTCATCAAATGTTATATTAAAACAACCATAAGAGGCCAAGCAAAGTAACATTTTCAAACTTCAAAGTACCATAGAATACCAAAACATTCTGAATCATTTATCAAAACAAAAATCTAAGATATGAAAATTTAAATTAATTAGATTGATTGACTGAAAAATTCAATCAATAACTACTGGTTTGAAATAGGGATCATAAGATCAATTATAAAATTTTAAAAGTGGGCCGAGTGGGCCCAAATAATACCCTTACACCCTGACCTCCTATTGCGTACGCCTCAGAGCGCCTTATTGCGTATCCAATATTGCGTACGCCTCAGTGCAATATTGCGTACATCACACTCCCAGTGCCATATGCAATGCCTTTTACGCCATAGTCCAGGAATTAGCTGAGGCGCGCCATGAGGCGCAATTGCATTGCGCAATTACAAACAATGTCATTGATATAATCTTTTATCATTACTATTATGATCATTATATTTATTACTCCGTATTATCTAAGAACTTTCTTTGTCTGTCTTTTGGATGCAGGGGAAGTCTATACCGCTTAATTCACCGACCAGCTAATGGGGAAATGATGGATCAAAGGAGGCGCTTACGAATGGCTTTGGATGTGGTTTGTCCTGACTCCTGACGTCAAACATTGTCTCTTAACGATGCATGTATTTTTTTGTGATACACGTATGAAATGCAGGCCAAGGGTATCAACTATCTTCATTGCCTTAGCCCCCCTGTGGTTCACTGGGATCTTAAATCTCCTAATCTCTTGGTTGACAAGAATCGGACTGTGAAGGTTTAAGAATATGCTGCTATTATGTACTGTACTGATTTATGAAATTGTTTGATCAACATTGCTTCCTTTATCTTATATCATCATTTTGCTCAGGTGTGTGATTTTGGTCTGTCAAGGTTTAAACCTAATACATTCATATCTTCCAAATCAGTTGCAGGAACTGTAAGTCCTTTCTAGCATTTGCATACAGAGTATTTAGATTCAGCCTGTATAAAGCCTAATATAAACCTATTTTTGTATGGGAAAATGAAGTTATCCTCTTGAGTTTTTTTTTTGAGGTTATGTTATAATTGCTAACGTACCTTGTTTTTCAAGTCTAATAAGAATTGTCTAAAATGTCAATTCTTAAAAGCAGTGTTCTAAAAGGGGCTAGGCGTTAGTCAGACAGTGATTGGCCGCCTAGCGCCTAGCCCGCCTAGGCGCTACCTAGGGCGCCTAAGTATTACCTTTATTTCTTTGCTTTATTTTTATTTCCAAAGAATTCTAACAATATTTACTAATAATTTAATAATATTATGAGAATAGAAATAGCTCATATAATCATTAAATGTTATGTTTTTGTAGTAAATTATCAACAATAAAATATTTAATAGGTAAATTGATAGATTTGTGTTTTTCAGTCTCTAAAATGTACATATACATTCTAAAAAGTTTATATATATTCATTTAGAAATTATTTTTTTATTGTTGGAATATTAAAACAAATTTTACAGGAATACATTTCTTATTGATCATGTGGTGTTTTAAGACAAAACAGAACAATAAGTTGTGTCGGGAACAAATTTAAGCCAGGCCGCCTAGCTGATTTTTCCCACTGATTACAATAAAAATTGGGTGTTCGGCCACCGCCTAGCGACTAGGTGGCGCCTAGGCCGATTTTAGAACCATGCTTAAGAGTCATAACATTTATCCTTAAAGATATGTTGGAGAATTGGGTTTTGGAGGGGAGGGGAAGGTTAATGGGGGTTACACTCTTTGTCATGTCTGGGCAAAAAAATGGAGGGGGTGGTTTTGGATGGCTTTTGTAACCCTCCAAGCCCTCTCTAAATGCTCACTTTTTAAGTTCTTCCCATTTGGAGGGTTTTGAAGGATAATCAATGAAATAATAATTTAAGCTCAATTTAAAATGAATATCAATTACGTTATTTGAATTCGTCATATCTCGAAGTGATTTTAACTAAAATTCCTTCGAAGACTCTTTCCAAATTTATTACTACCAAATACGAAAAAATGTTTCCTCACCTTCCCCTCCTTTTCCCATCCAACAACTTACATTCAAAGGCTTCCCCTCTCCTTCCCTCCAAACTCCCAAACATACCCTAAGTGATTAGTGGGGCTTGTTGTTCCATTGCCATGGCTTATAATGATGAATAAGAAGTGATTTGACCTTAAGAGATAGATATTTTAGACAATTTCCCTCATATTTTGTTTCCTTTTTTTCGAAGCTCAATAGCTTATGAAAAAACAAGATTAGACTTTTATTGATGACTTAATGTTAAGGGGTAAACACTGATTTTTCCTTTTTATATTGATCTTCTAAGTACTCATGGAATCAAACATGTTGATGCAGCCTGAGTGGATGGCCCCTGAATTTCTTCGTGGAGAACCATCAAATGAGAAGTCAGATGTGTACAGTTTTGGTGTCATTTTGTGGGAGCTTATTACCCTTGAACAGCCTTGGTCTGGACTCTGCCCTGCTCAGGTTTGCATACCTTTCTCTACATGCTTTGCTGTTTTTGCTCCTTTAAGGATGATCCGTATTTTGACCAATTATCAGGTGGTTGGAGCTGTTGCTTTCCAAAACAGAAGGCTTTCTATGCCAGAGAACATTTCTCCAACAATGGCATCTCTCATTGAAGCTTGCTGGGATGAGTAAGCTCTAAACTTCCATTTTGTGAACTATATTTCTTACACCATTTCATTGTTCAATAACTCTACATGTTTGTCTATGGGAAAGCTTGGGGCAACCCCCACCCGGGCAGCGTAGGCTTGGCAACCATTTGGTTCCAAGTTTTATGATAAAGCTTGGGGCAACCCCCACCAACTTACCGGGGGTGTCTGGTATGATAAAGCTAGGTTTAGTATCTTTGAGAACAAGGGTACTCAATAGAATTGATAATCTGGGGTGATTCTACTTACTGGGTGTCTGGTATGATAAAGCTAGGTTTAGTTACTTTGAGAACAAGGGTACTCAATAGAATTATAATCTGGGTGGAGTTGCGCGGTTGGATTAATGTAGCAAGAGTCAGAGGCACTAGAATATAGCTACTCTAGCTCAATTGAATTCAATGCCTTCAAATTCATGCATCTCTATTTAATACGTATTATATCTGATCCAATGTCTTTTAATATCTCAGATTCCAGCTACCCTGGAAATAAATTTCTATCATCAACTCATCAAGTAATTCGTATGTTTGAGTTCTTCTCCCTCACAATGTGACTCTTTGTGCAGTGACCCCGCCAAACGGCCGCCCTTTGGTAGTATCGTGGAAACACTGAAGAAGCAGCTGAAGTCTCCCCTTAATTTGATTCAGATGGGAGGGAACACTAAAGAAGCAGCTGAAGTCTTCCCTTATTTTGATTCAGATGGGAGGGAAGTAAAGGTTCCCAGCTGTTGATGCAGCTTTTGAAGAATTTCAACTATGATATTTATAGAGAGAAGTGTGCAAAACACCGGAGAAGGAACACCATGAAATCATAAAGTAATAATATTTGTAATACGTGACATAAGGTGTCAGTGTGTCACTATACATCTGCAAGGAAAGTCAAGCATGAGAGAATCTTTTGAATTATTACATGTACTATTTTTGTATTTCGTATTATTCACCTTCCTTATTATTGCCTTTTCCTTATTTGAAGCTTTGTACTGTTGTAGTATAAATAATGCTCGATCGTTGGCAGTAGCTATGAATAATATACGAAACCTTTCTTCTTTGTTCTCATCTTTCTTCTTCTTTTGCTATTATTTTATGATGGTATCAGAGTTGAAATCCTAGCTAATTTTTAATTAGACTAGTTTTCCGATCTGGTATCACTTGATTTCCGAATCAGAGCATCACCGTAATATTTCTATGACCAGAAAAACTGGCGTGGAGAGTAGCGCATACCAGGCTCACGTTAAATCAAGGGTTGACCGAAAGCCCGGAGGGAAATTTTGCACCCCCTGCGGCCGAACTAACCATAATCAGCTGGACAGCGAATTGGAATAACCGACCAAAGGATGAACCACCTGCAGGTCATTCCATTGATCGGCCAGCAAGGAGTGGTAAAACTGGTAATCATAACAAAAGGAGTGGACCAACTAAAGCAGCACACGTTAGCTCACATGCAGGGACAGAGTTTAATGTTCCAGGACCCATCTCAAAAGGCACTTCAAACGTGGAGGTTAATATGGCAGGTAACATCCAGGCTCAATGGATAATTGATTCAAGAGCATCGGAGCACATTACTTGCAATCAGAATTTATTAACAAATATTATGACTAATCCTTCTGAGCTCCCCGTTCGGATACCAAACGGTGATGTTGTGCCTGTCTTACTCTCGAAGAGGCCGATTGGATTACTCTCGAAGAGGCCGATTGGAGTGGGTAGGTGTCGAAATGGTCTATATTATCTGGAGGACCGCATCAGCGAGGGTGTGGCAATGGCGGCTTTTTCACGACTTGACATTTGGCACCGACGTCTGGGGCATGCCTCACTTGACAAACTTCGTCATATTCATACTTTGCAAAAAGTCTTAAGAAAGATGTTTCCTTTTGTGACTCGTGTGTACGAGCTAAGCAGACTCGACTCTCTTTCCCTACCAGTTATATTAAGACACAACAAAGTTTTGATTTGATTCATTGTGACATCTGGGGGGATATAAATATGCCTCTTTGACAGGTGCACGATTTTTTCTCACCATTGTTGATGACTTTACACGCAACGTGTGGGTCTACCTCATGACCGCCAAATCTGAAGTGGGGCAATTTTTAATTCATTTTTGTAATATGATTAATACTCAATTTTGTCGTCCTGTTAAGCGAATTCAGACCGACAATGGTGGTGAGTTTCAGTCTCATGTCCTGCTAGATTATTATAGCACGAATGGAATTGTCTTAGAAACGTCTTGCACAGATACCCCACAACAAAATGGGGTAGTGGAGCGCAAACATCGACACATTTTGGAGGTGGCCAGGGCTTTGCGCTTTCAGGCGGGATTACCAATTGAGTTTTGGGGGGGGGGAGTGTATCCTTACAGTCGTATTCATCATCAATAGGCTCCCCATGCCGGTAATTTCCAATAAGACCCCATTTGAAATGCTTTTCCAGAAAATACCTGATTATAATCACCTTTGTGTGTTTGGATGTCTTGTTTATGCTCATGATAATAAAAGAAAGGATAAATTCGGTGAGGGGGAGCCCATGCATTTTTATTGGGTACCCTAGCGGACAGAAAGGTTACAAAGTATTTGACTTGAAGACTCATAAGGTCTATAGCTCAAGGGATGCAACCTTCTTTGAGAATATTTTTCCGTGCAAAACCACCTCAGCCACAGATGATCAATCTTTTAACACAGCAATACGGGTGGCTCTTAACTGAGTTTATGCTGATTCCATGTCTTCAATTGATCCAACACCGATGTGACCGGCCATCGAGGTGGTGCTTCTCCTACGAATTTCGGATCCTCGCAAGATACACATATCGAGGCTATGCATGAGAATCACGTCGAGACTACGACAGACTCAGCTCCCTCTAAGCCAGTTGTACAAGTGAATAACTCTCAGCATGATGGCGGTATTCGGAAGAGTGGACGAGTGCGGCGGACACCGGTGCATCTAGAGCACTTTGATGTTGACTTTCCACCCTCGCTTGATCACTTGAAACCCACCTCCAATCCGGTAGTCTCGACGGTATATCCTCTCACACATTTTCTCTCTTATAATAATTTTTCACCGACTCACCGAGCTTTTTTAGCGGCTATCACTGCCCATGATGAGCCCAAATATTTTTCCCAAGCCATCCAGGATCCACTATGGAGGGAAGCAATGCAAAAGGAAATTAGGGCACTTGAAGAAAATGGAACGTGGACTCTAGTTCCTCTGCCTCCCGGAAAGAAGCTGGTTGAATCCAAATGGGTCTACAAAATAAAATACAAGCCTAATGGAGACATTGAGCGCTACAATAAGACATCAAGTCTTCTTTACCTCATCCGCCTTCTCTCACACACCACCCTGTGCACTCAGCGTCTCTTCCATCACCTTCAACCTGCTTTCCAAAGCTGCAACATGGTCCCGCAACACTTGAATCTCATCCATCACTTTGGCTTTGAAGCCCTTGGCCCATACTTGTTCATCCTCGATGTTATTCTCAGATTCTTCTTCATCATCGGCTTCCCCAACTTCTTCCTCCTACATATGAAACATAAAGACTATAATTCGATGTTATGAAAATAAAATAACTTGAAGAAAATAAGATATAATATATCATCATGGTCCTTGAAAACCAATTCATTGAGCTTGTGTGAATGAAAGAATTCATAAGCCTTCCAGTTCATCATAGGAACATCTTCACTAGCAACACGTTCAACAAATTTCCCTCCTAGGTTAGGCACGTTTTCATACGCCCAAATCTATACAAAAAAAGTAATATGTCTGTCTGCCCAAAACATATACATACAAATGTCTGGAACATATGCATGTCTGTCTTCATTACATATACATGTCTGTCTAAAGAATGTCTGTCTACCAAATGAATTTGTCAGCCTGGAACATATACATGTCTGTCTTCATTAGTAACTGGTCTGTGTGAACATAGAAATGTTTGTCTCAACATTAAACTACAAATGAATAAGGAAAAATGACATTACCCGTGGGATTCGTGGACATCTATACAGAGTGAACTTAGCATTTTTGGTCTTGCTTTTCTTGAACCTGTCGGGCTGGCCTTTCATTATACTTTTCATGTTTTCAACCATGATGTTTTAGGACTCCACACCCCACAGATACTTCTTAAATTTGTCGAACTCATCCTTCCATTTAACATAGTCCGAATTTATATTTGTTTTGTTATCCCTTGCAAGTAAATTACTCACAACGTAACAAACCGACACTATGCTTCACAGGATCAGTGGGATCTCCTCTTTTTGAAGGCATGAATGACCTGAGCCTTTCCTTCATAGTTTTGAACGTGATGTCCGTGGATCTACCAAAGTACTTGTCAAACAGCTTCCCCCGCATTTCTTCACCATCACAGAAGACTGGCTTTTCCCCCGATGATTTGATCCTGGAGATGCCGCAGAAATCAGCGTAGGTAAACTTGAGCAACTGCTCTTGAATAAAAAAACCATAGCTTGTCTTCATGTTGCTCCCGAACTAGCCTCAACAAAAGAGAATGGATTATTTGACTAGAAACCTGTCTCTGACACATAAATAAGGTGGCCCCATGGCGTCTTCTTAAACTCCTCCAAGCTTCCAGTCTCTTTGAAAAAATGAGCAAACGAAATATTGGGCTCGAAATTGCTTGGACACAGGAATTTGTAGTTCAAATGCCCTGTATAATTTCAACAAATACATATCACAGATTTCAACCAAATTAGTGACATTACAAAGACCCATTTCACGTTACAGAAAACTCAGAAGGAAGGCCAGCATTTTATATCACATGACAAACAACTACACAACAATTTAAACAATTCTATATCATGTGAACAATTTGTTACAATACATTGATAGAGAAGTCAATTCACATGATAGAAAACTACAACCTAATTTTAAAGAATTCAAAATGACGTGACGGACAATTCAAATGAGTTGTTAGACAACTAATTTCACATGATAGACAATTACAAAACTAGTTTCAACCATTTAAAATAAAATGACAGACAACTCAAATGGCTTGCCAGACAAGTTATTTCACATGACAGACAATTACAAACCAATTTTAAACAATTCAAATTGATGTGCCAGACAACTCATATGGCTTGCCAGACAACTACTTTCACATGACAGACAACTACAAACCCAGTTTCAACAATTCAAAATGAAGTCACACAACTCAAATGGCTTGTCAGACATTTTAAATCACATGACATTCAACTCACATGTACAAAAATAGTTCACAACCATGACAGACAACTTCAAACCACACACAACCAACTACTAAGTAATTACAAACGAAGCACAAACAACTTCAAACTACTCACAAACATAATGACAGACAACTCTAAAATTACAAAAGTTGTTCACACCAAATAAAATCAATCTAACAAAAATAGAACAGCATGCATACCTTTCAGCCATTTCTGTTAAGCTTGTCCGAACCATAGAGCTTGAAACCTTCACAACAAAGTGATTTTAAACTGATTTGACAACCTTCAAGTGTTTACGCCTTATAAGAGGGCTGAGGCGAACAGGGGTGAGGTTGGAGTGCTCTATGATGGCGATTGTAAACAAGAGTGTGCCGCTCGTCACTGGTGGCGACGGTTGTGGGGGATGCAACCGTTGGTTCGTGGGGGTGGGGACGAACGCTGCTATTTTGTGGCAGATGGGTTGGGTCGATGATTGTGGTTTTGGTCGGGAAGGGTCGAAACGTGCTAGTGAAGGGAAAAGGTGGGAGGCACGGGAGATTTGGAAAGGGGTGTGAGAGGGGGGAGGTTGGGCACACGTGAGAGAGCAGAGGTGGGGAGGGTAAACTTTTGGAATGATTTTTATATGGGATGCAAATCTATAGCAAAATTGATTTTGATAATGGATGATTGGATTCTGTGTTAAATTTTCTACAAAAAATCTATTGGTACACATTTTTCATACACACACCTACACACTCATGTTCGTGAAGAGTATTTTTTGTCTGTATACAGACATAATATATTTTCAAGCTGGATTGAATTTTCAACTGGTGGAGTATAAGACTACAAATGTTTTTGGATGAAGAATCTCCGGTGCAGATTATTAAAAGGGTTTTGCTGGGTGTACACAAAATGTGTACACCATTTTTATACACTTGTCAGTTGTCTGTCTCAGGCAGACAAGTGTACATTTTGTGTACACGAACCATTTTTCTTATTAAAATGAATTTTGTCATACTTATGTAGTTATATGCGGAGGGAAAATGCTAAGTATACACACCATGTACACAAGTTGTACATGGTATAAAAGCCAAAAAAGAATCTCATTTCCTCCTCCCTCTTCTCCCTCTCTCGGTTCTCTCTTCCTTCTCTCTTCTTCTTCCTCTCCTCCTTCTCTCTTTCCTCTTTACCCAATCTCTTCTAAAATTCTCAACAACAACAAAATTATCTTCTTCATCCTTTTTTCTCTACCTTTATTTATCATTTTTTTTCATCATTTGCACAAAATCAACTTATTCATCTTATTTCACATATTTTTATTATGTTTCTAATTGTATTCAAATTAATATAATTTGATTACACATACAACTACATCCTTCATTTGTAATTGTATACAACTACAATTAAAATTGATCACACAGACAACTATTGTCTGTGGAACGCACAACTATTGTCCGTGTGGTAAAAGTTGTCTGTGCACACAGACAAATAATTGTTTGTGCAACATGAAAATATTGTCTGTGCACACAGACACTGCACATATATTGATTGATTTGCAAGTTGTATCAGTGTCAGGCGGCTGTCAGCGTACTTTTTACAAAAAAAAAGTAAATGTCTGTGGATACAGACAAAAGTTTGTGTACACAGACAACTCTTGTCTGTGACCACTGACAATTCCGTATTAATTGTCTGTGATCGACATTTTGTGTACAACTTGTGTGCCCCTAGCATGGTTATGGTTGATATAGGGAGTAGTACACGCGTTTATTTTTCAAGCCAAATTCTATGCACCTGGCAAGTTCAAATCAATTCCATTCCTCAATTCCGGGTTCGCAATCTCGAGTGACTGTTTGTTTAGGTTGACTTAAGTTTACCCAAAGATTTTCACCCCTGTCAAAGAAGGCAGCTGCCTACCATTTATACTCCATTTTACCGGAGGAGTTGACTTCATCGCCATTAATATGAACTTCATTACAATCCAGGCGGAGTATATTTTTATATGTATAATAATAATAATAATAATATAGTCTGTCGTCTTCTCGATCAGGGGCAGAGCCTTCTTCAGTTCATCTCATCCTCTTCATTCATTCACATCTACTGGAAAAGGTAAAATCATCAACCGACCAAGATGTGGGCCGATCTTCTTCTACAGGCTGCTCTTATTTTGTTCGCCATCGTCATGTTTCTCTCTATGCACAACATCCCTCAGACCATCTTCGCCAAGCTCCGCACTCGGAGCCAATCGCGCACCATCCAAGCCAGGCGCCACTTCGTCTTGGGCGCGCAGCGCCTGGATCGAGCCAGGTCCGGAAAGGAGCTGTCGTCGTCGATGAGAATCTCGCTCGCCAAGTCAGCCGAGGAAGAAGCCGACCGAGCAATCGGGCTCGACATCAAGGACGCGGCGCCTCACTTGCTCAAGGCCATGGCTCTCGAGGTCCAGGGATTCAAAACCTCCGCCATAGGCGCGATGGATGTCGCGCTGTCTCCGCTGGCGGCGAAATCGCTCAGCGAATCCGAGAGGGCGGAGGCGCTGCACAAGCGGGCGGCGCTGAGGATCGCGACGAGTCAGGACGGGGAACTCGACTCGGCTATTGCGGACCTGGTCGACGCGGTCCGGTTGAAGGGGGATGACGTCAAGGCGAGGTGTCTGTTGGGAGAGTGCTATGAAAAGAAAGGGCTGAAAGTCGAGGCCCAAAAGTGTTACGAGGACGCTCTGAAAGTCCAGCCCGATTATTCGGCCGCCCAGGTTGCCCTTTCCCGTTTGGCTGCTTAATTCGTCACTGCCGATCAAAGGATGTCCATTCCAGTCATTATCATCTCCTCCTTCCTTCTCCCATTTTCAGATTGTAACTTATGTAATGGAGCTGAATTTCACCACTATGGAGTCTGGATGGAATTCAACATTTCAACCACACCACCCTTTGTAGCAATAATAATGCTTCTGCTATGTGAGATCATTATATGAAACTTTTTGTTGTACTATCCGTGTGGCAGTCTAGATTTTGTTTTCTTGATGTTAGTCACTACTGCAGTGACCGGAAATTCTGTGTTAAGAATGAGCTTAACCATGGTTTTAGATTGAGGTTGCTAGCAAACGGGTTGCGGTCAATGCGGTGTGAATTTTCGAAACAGCTAAAATGGTGGCATGATGCGGTTCAGGGCGATGGTAAAACACACCACAACTGTTGGTTGTGCTGCGGACTCAATTCAAAACCCTTGGTTTAACAATCCTGTCTATGCAAGGATTAATGATAGAGAACCATTTGGGGTTGCCTATAATGACCTGGGCTTATCTTGAAAGGGAAATGGTTTACACCATAAGAGTCTTCTAGCATTTTTCCAAGTAATTGATCATTATAGTTGTGATTTGTGAAACATGGAAACTCTCGAGAAATAGCATGTTTCCGTTTCGAATACGAAACTCTCGAGAAACAACATTCTCGAGAAATAGCATGTCTCCGTTTAGTAAACTATTTGGAAACTCTCAAAACAGTTGTTTTTTAATATATTTTTTTTGATGAATTTTTAATATTTTTATTAAAAGATGACATTTGTGTGCAACATAAACTTGCAATTTAAAATACATGAACTCTCATTATTCCTTCCATATATGGTGACACATCTTTTTGTCTTTCAAAGAATGGTATTGTGCAGGCATTTATCGATTTATGGTATTCTCGACTCACTTGGCAGGCACAACCGCACAACTTTACTTAAAATCCTTTATTTTATTTTATTTTTTACTTAAAATCCTTTAATTTCATACTACATCATTATCATTACCCCATTACCCCATTGCCGCAAACCCCAGTGCCGCAAAGGTTCCTACATACTAACATACCGTAAGGTAAGGAGGGTCGGATGTACGTTGTTTTACTTCTGTACTAAAGTACAAAGAGACTGTTTCCTGATAACCTGTAGTGAAAATCGCGTCCAAAATTACATGGACTGACTGCTGCTTCAAAACGAAGAAGCACATACAGTTTAGTGAGTCATTTTGTTTTATTCCATCATATTCTCAAACCAAAAAATGGTGAATCTTTTACTCCATTGCAAATGATGAAATTTTAATTTCAAACTACATAATTTGCATTGTGAGCTTTATGTATTGCAGTACTTGCCTAATTGCTAAGAGCATCTCCAATGCTACAATGTGCACGGTGCACATGTGACATGAGAGAGATAGACACAAAAAATTGAATGCATGACATTTCTCTCACATTCTTTCCAGGGTTTTATGTGTTTTTGGTAAGTCCCCCCTGCAATGTCAAGCGCAATGTCTACATCTAGACATTGTGTTTGACATTGTGAAGAAAAAATTACCAAAATGATACAAGACCCTTCAAATAAGGAGAGAAATATTCTTTTTATTACTACGTATTTTTTAATTGGTTATCTCTCATGCCACGTATGCACTGTTCACATTTTAGCATTGGAAATGCTCTAAGGGGTGAGTACCCTCAGGATGATAAAGTTTCTTTGAGTATACTTGCAATATGCAATGAAGCCCAAGACTTTGGATGATATTATAAGCTTGCTTCTGTAGTTCTGTATGCTATAGTTTTAAATGTGCAACCATTAAAAGTTTGTAAATAAATTTCCCTTGGCTTGTTCTAGTCATGGACCCGGGCCGGGCCTAGGCCCGGTCGGGCCTCGGGTTTATATGAGGGAGGCCCGGGACCGGCCCGTGCTATGGCCGGTGCCGGTTCGGGCCGGGTCCCCCGCCCGGGTCACGGGTCGGGCCACCCGCCGGGCCGGGCCGGGTCATGTATATTTTTTTTAAATTGTAGTTTATACAAATTCTTATTAAAAACAAAGTTCAAGTGCATTTATTTGAAATAGGAACTACATTTAAGAATTGAGAAAAAAATTACAATATGAAATACATTTTCTAATAAATATCAATTAGAATTTCCGCCACCGTTGGTTGTTGTTTTGCCTTTGTCACAGGACTTCATATGTTTTATGGGCATCCCGTATCCGTGTGAACGCCCCAAGCTACACTCTTTTTTGCACCACTTGCAAGTTGCCCACCACCGCCCGGTCTTCGGGTCCTTCCACTTATCAAAATTGTTTTGCATTAGGGAAGATTTACTTTCCATCTTTAAAATGGTAGATGTATAAGTAGGAATGTAGGATAATAAGAGAAGATGAAGATGGAAAAGAGTTGGAGAAGAGGTGTAAAAAAAAGTTAAAAAATAGATGTATTTATAGAATTTTTTGAACCCCACTTCCCACACCACCACCCCCGGGACCCCCCTGCCCCCCACCCAAAGCCCAAACGGCTATTTTTTTAAATATTTTTAAATACTTTTTATTTTAAAATTATACATATTGTAAAATAAGTTAATTAATTTAATGAATTAAGTATAGCTATTTTTACTTAGAAAAGTGGTTTGATTTATAATTTACAAATGTTACAAAATAGGTGTATTTAAACAAATTACATATTGTAAAGCTATTTTTAATTTAAAAACACCCTTTAGAAAATTAATTGTAAGTTGTAAGTTTGTAACCAATTAATTAATTTGAGAAGTGCTACATATGAAAAAGTGAACGCATATTTATTTGAAATATGAAGTACAAGTTTACAAGTTACAATTGAGAATTGAGGGAAAGATTAAAACATGAAATACATTTTATAATAAATTCTAAAATACTAATCAATCGGAATCTCCGGCATAGGTAGAGCCACCATCGGTTGTTGAGTCATCCATAAAGTCTTGGAAGGGGGTGATGCTCATTTCTTGAGTTTTATGTGCGGCCTTCAACGTGGTAGCATATAAGCGTCTCAAGAGAGTTTGCGCTCAATCTCGTTCTAGATGCCGTTAGGACGTTGCCGGCCGAACTAAATTCTAGTTCCACGGCAACTGTTGAAACCGGCATTGATAGCACTTGCTTAGCCATCCGTGCTAAAATCGGGAACGTTCTTTCTTTTGACTTCCACCACTTTAGAACGTCAAAGTCATCATTTTATTCAAATTCAACTTCATATGTTAAATACAAAGTAATCTCATTTATTGCACTTTGTTTAGTAGGGTGAGTTGTTGTAGTTTTTTTCATAAGATTGCCAAATGCAGATTTAAAAATTGATTTTCCTTTAGATGAAGATGTTCGTGTCGGGGGAGGGGGCGCGTTGCCATATTGTGCACGAAACTCATTAAATAAAACATAAAATAAAGCACTAACCTCGTTGTATTCCGTTTTCGGATCTATGGGGTGGGGTTATCGTCATACATTGGAAATTCACCAAAAAAAAGCAAGATAATAGAAGTTGAAACAATGTTCCAAATTAGCTAGTCTAAAACGAGGATCGAGAATAAACGCAATACCATAAATATGCGGAATATGTGCATAATATTTTTAAAAAAATCCTTCATAAAATCACAAAAATAATTCACGTAAACGTCATTCTCAAATTCTCTAAAAGCACCGGCGAGATTAACAGCTTCACGAATAAATTGGTTTGCGGTGGGTTTATAAACATGACTAAAAGTTTCAGTTGCATTAAAAAAAATCAAAACATTATAAATTTTTTCGCAAGTGTAGATCTCAGCCGAGTTTATAATATAGTTATCATGTTGTTTTAAAAAAGCAGGAAAATGTTCTTTATATCTAAGAACAACTTTAAGTATTTTATAAGTACTATTCCAACGAATACTCAAATCTTTAGGAAAAGTAACATATCTCACACCGCTTTCAGTCAAATAAGTTTGTCATTACGTCTACCCCCCCCCCCCCCCGACTACCTCCATAGCATCTCCTAACGCTTTTAGACCGTCTTGCACACATAAATTTATAACATGGCATGCACAACGCTGATGAAAAAATCTACCCATCAAAGTATTGGCACTACACAATTCACGCAATCTAGGTAGCAGCAGTATTATTAGTAGCATTATCGAAACCAATAGCAAACATCTTATCAATCAAATTATACTCAATTAAAATACGCTCAATCAAAATATAAATATGTTCAGCGGTGTGACGATCATTAAACTCACGAAAAGCAAGAACACGTTTATGCATATTCCAATCCTCATCAATATAATGTGCAGTCAAACCCAAATAATTTAAATGATGAAAATCATCCTCCCATATGTCGGAACAAATAGTAACACGCCCATCAAAGTTTGCAAAAAAAATTTGTAACCTTGCCTTTTCCGCACCATAAAGCCTTATAATTTCTTTCTTAACAGTTTTGCGACTATAACCTCTAAATTGAGGATTTAAACTACCGCATGCATAATCTCTTAAAACAAGACTTTCAGAAAACATATAAGGCAAATTTACTTCACAAATTAAGTTAGCCATACCAGTCAAATTTTGTGCATCATTGTATGAGAAATTACCAAAATGTTGAGAATTCGCAAACCTCGATATTTGAGTTTGCTTCCCCGTTCCGCCGCCTAATTTTGCATACTCCACGGGGTGCTTTGCCTTAAGATGCCTTGCGGCGGATCCGTGTCCGCCGGAGGTCCCCAAGCTATAATTTTTGTTGCACCACTTGCAAGTTGCGTGCCAATACCCGGTTTGTGCGTCCTTCCACTTATCAAAATTATTTTGCATTAGTTCTGATTTACTTTTTTTATTACCAGTTTGGGATGAGGCAGGCTCGTCGGCGTCGTGGCTGCCGCCACCCTCCTCCTCGGCCGTCTCCGGTTCCATTTCCTCCGCATCTTCATCCTCAAGCTCATCTTCGTCAATGGTCGTTGGGATTTGTTGTTGTTGGAGAAATCAGTTATTATGCCGGGCCAATTCTTGTTGTAGTTGTTCTTCGGACATCGCATCTTCATCCCTCCTTTGGTAACCCGTTTCAAAATCATCTCGGCTTTGAGATGAAGAGCCGGCAAGTTCTTTAAGTTTGCGGGATTTCCTCCTCCCAATCTCGTTCCTTCGGTTGTGCTCGAGGTTACTCATATCAACCGAATATCTACCACCTTTCATCTTAAAAATGTAACAAATATTAATTTGCAACAAATATAATAATGAATACAAAAGTAATGCAACTAATTAAAACTATTTTAATTAATACTTCAAACTAATTAGTGAAAACTACTTTAATAAAATGTGAAGTACTTTAATTAAGTAATGAATTAAAGTGTGACTAAAATAAAAATTGAAATTCGAACTAATCAATAGTATTTTTTAATAAATATAATTAACTAAATACTTAAAACTAACAAGTGTGACTTTAACTAAAATGTGAGTAATTAAATTATAGCAACTTTTCAAGTACTTTAATTTAGTGAAAACTACTTTAATAAAATGTTAAGTACTTTAATAAAATTATTGAACTACTCTTTTTTCGTTCAAATATAAATTCAAACTATTACAATGTGACTTTAACTATAATGACAATTAACTAGTTTTTTAAAGTAGAGTTATTTTAGAAATTAATGGGAATACTAATTAACTAATTAACTAGTTTAATGAAAAATGTAACAATTAGTGAGAATACTAATTAACTAATCAAGTAATGTTAATACAAAATGTAAGTAATAAGACAAATGTATGAATGTGTATACTAATTAATGGGAGTAAATGAGTAATAGAATGAT